TCTGGAGAACCAGATGCATGATCTAGAACTGGTTGCACCATCAAGAACCAGTTGCAGGGTCTCTAGAACTGGTTGCACGGTCAAAGAACCACTTGCATGGTCTAGAACCAGTTGCTCCACCAAGAACCAGTTGCAGGGTCTCTAGAGCTGGTTGCACCACCAAGAACCACTTGCATGGTCAAGAGYTGGTTGCACCCTCAAGAACCAGTTGCTTGGTCAAGAACTGGTTGCACGGTCAAAGAACCACTTGCATGGTCAAGAGCTGGTTGCACCMTCAAGAACCAGTTGCAGGGTCTCTAGAACTGGTTGCACCGCCAAGAACCACATGCATGGTCCAGAACCGGTCGCGTGGTGAGCACCAGTTCACTCAAGCGCCCTAAAAGGCCCAAGGGGGCCGCGGGCCGCCCTCGCCCCATGGGACCTCCTGCCCCACAGCCAGCGCTACTGCGTGTGTAACGCGCCGCTGCTGCGCCAGTTCCGCAACCCGGACACCATCTTCATCCTGGCCTTCGCCGTCATCCTCCTCAACACCGACATGTACAGCCCCAGCGTGAAGGCCGAGCGCAAGATGAAGCTGGAGGACTTCATCAAGAACCTGCGGGGTGAGACGCGTTGGGGGGCTCRAGCGGCCGCCGAGACCCTCCCCGTGTCCCCCGGCCCCTGACCGGTGCCGCGCAGGGGTGGACAACGGCGAGGACATCCCGCGGGACATGCTGGTGGGCATCTACCAGCGCATCCAGAGCCGCGAGCTGCGCACCAACGACGACCACGTGTCCCAGGTCCAGGCCGTGGAGCGCATGATCGTGGGCAAGAAGCCGGTGGGTGACGCGGCGGGGCGCGGACCATGGGGTGCTGTGTAAGGGTGTCCTAGGACACCTATGGACAGAGGGGGGCGGTCTAGGTGGCCCCATAGAGGAACGTTCTAGGTGGCCCCATAGAGAGACATTCTAGGTGGCCCCATAGAGGAACGTTCTGGGTGATCCCATAGAGGGATGTTCTAGGTG